TATGTGCTTAGCAAAACAGCAACTGACAAAGACAGGAAAAAGGTGAGACAGAAGAATCAACTTCTGTAGACTGCATGTCTCATTCAAATAATGGATATTAATGCTGTTTGCTATGAAATAATAATTAAGACAATCACAGCTGCCAACACCAAAATACCACATTTCTGAAGTTAAATTTTAAGACAATTTTAAATAAAATACTTTTAGCCAAGACAGAATAGCATGGGACCTGCACTGCACATCTAGGTTTCCAACACAATTATACATATTAAAGAATTATATTTTTATAGATATGTAAAATAATGTTTATTTTATAATCCCAAAACCCTCAAATCTTAATTTAACTGGGCCTTTTTTCATGTTTGCTCTGTGAGCTTTTTACTATCACATGTAAGTACTTCTCTCTTTTTAACTTCCACATAACTACACTCTGTTTAGCCAAAGCATCTTGTCATTTTCTCATCCCTGCCACTGATTCCACTGGTCATACCTGCCCTCAAGGTCGAGTTCTCACTCCTGTCTGTGACTTGCACATCCTGAGACTAAGCTTTCACCACCAGCCACTCCAAGCACATCAGAGCATGCTGACATGGAATGACAGGAGCCACATACTCTGTTTTACTACCTGACCTTTGAAAATAACACAGCTTCCTGATCCTTAACTCATTTACACACTGTGGGTATACAGCCTATCTAAAGTCACAGAGCACAGTAATGTCACTATTTCCACCTTCAGTTTTCAGTTTGTAATGTAGCAGAAACTCCCCTGACAAAGATACTAAAAGCTAGTGAGCCAGCTAACACTGTTTCACTGCAATTCAATTCATATTTCCATCAATCATCAGAAGGTTTAAACTCTTAATTTCTCAATTCTTGTAGAAGAAAGTGGAATGTTCAATATTAAAAGTACTGAAAAGGCGGCAAAACAGGTATTTGTAATGAGGTACAGTAGAACAACAGTTCTGTAATCCATAACTCAAGACAAACTTCTGAATTAGGATGATTACAGAAGAAACTCATTTAAGCATAAATGACGTAACTGCCATGTTAAAGAATAAGCTGGCATACAGTTATCAGTTTTTCTGTAGTGTCCATTGACAAAAAATCTACGATAATCAGTCGGAGTAATTGCTGACTGTGAGAGACCTAACGGTTGGGTGTCAGCCTATGTACTTTAAGTTTCCCTTTCAGTCAATGGAAAGAAACAGGCCAGATAAATTACCTTTGGAGGAGCCTATTTTAGACACAACGAATTACAGACAGTTGCAGACCCTCAAATTAGTGTTGATGAATGCTACTAAAACTGTATTTTAAGACCAAAAGTCATTCAAGCGAAGATAAAAAGCAGCAGAAGACACAAACGGATGTCAGTTACTGCCACCGGTAACAGTTGCAGACCCCCCTTTAGATCATGGCAACCTGAGTTTTTCATTACAGCATAAAAAGCCCATCTCCACCTCACAGTGCTTGCACAACAGATGGAAAGGTCCTTATACTGGAAGAGAACTGAATTAACAGAATAAAGCACACACGGATGAGGTAAGGCACCAACCTGCTCTGTCCTCCATCCTCTTCTCATGAGCAGATAGCAACTACAGCAAACAAAGCCCCTATCAGAAAAAGAAGGAAAATATGCTCCCTGCACAGGGCAAATACTGCCTTGGAACACCTGACAAACTGAAAGCCAATGATTTCAGTTAACTCAGTAATCTGGCCTTTAGTACTAGGCAGAAGCAAAGGAAATGGCTCCCATCTATCTGCAACTGATTTGGTAAAAGATTAAGCTTCGTTTCAGTTACTGCATGAATTCATGGAGAGTGACGAAAGCTAATGGTGCAACCATTCACTTCAGTCCATTGCAGTGGTTCTGAAGTTAGTGAGTAGTGCTTAGTGCTGCTGAAATAAAGTCTGACAAATCCACTCACAACTACTTCAGCTGGTACAAACGTTTTGCTGGGAATGTAATTGATTTAACAATGGGGGAAATGTCAAGGGCCATTACTTCCGACTTTCAACAATCTCCTTTGTTAGCTGACATGTGTCACAACTGCACAGTGAAAAGAAAGACATTTCTATTAAACTCAGTGCACTACTTGAGCTATATAAAAAAATTCTAATTTTCAGATGATGATACTAAAATAAGTGTCAAATAGGCTTTTTTTAACAGGCAGGAGAGAGAACTCTCCTGCTTTCTTATTTTACAATCTTACTCTTTAACCAAAGAATAGGATAAACCATGCCTCCTTTTCACAACATGATTTCAATGTACGTTTTCTAATACCACCATGACTGTGATTAAAAGCTGCAATGAGGATGTGGTATAATGGAAATAAGTTCATGTACCCTCACACTGTCCACGGAGTGAAACAATATCCATTTATCTCCAATTCCCTAGAGGCTGGAATTTGACATGAGACCTCTGTTACTTTGTTCTTTTTAGTGTAGTTGATGTTAATTCTTTCATAGCATGGACACATTTTCCTGAAAGTTTCTCAGATTTTGGCATATCATCCTCTTTGGTTATTTTATTATATAGAATGCCACAAGTGCAACTGTGTCTAATACCCGCATTTATCAGTAATATTTCTCTCTTTCCTTATTCCATCTCCTAACACAAAGGCTGAAAGTAAAAACTTCCAATAAAGACAGCTTTAATGCAGGGTATCCTTACCTTGTTCATATCAATGTGAGATAACCTTCAGAATACACATTATTAGAAAACAGAAGGTATTTCTTGCATCACACTGATTAAAAGAAATGCAAAGTTAGGCTCCCTGCCTTCTCTCAGAAGTCTGATGCTCATCTAACATCACATGTCTTAGGCTTTACAGCTACCTTTCTAATTCACCTCTATTTTTCAGTGAGATCATTTTGGACACTTTCCTACGTCAAGCACATACAGTCATGTTCGTAAGTGACATACGAGTGGGCATGTAAACGTAAGCTTTTACTCTGAGGGACCATGAGTCTTGTCAGTCAGGTTACAAGCTGAACTACTTTGATGGACACAAACAGTAGTTAATTCATGGTGCTCCCAGAAGCATGCCAATCAATAAGTTATGCAGCAGATGTAAACTGCATGTAATGCTTCCTTGATGCAGCTGATTATAACAGAGCTCTTTCTGACCAAGGAGCCTGACACATGAAAGAAATCAGAACCAAAGAGTCTCTGAACTCCGTTTACACTCTGGGAAATAAAGTTCATGCAAACCTAGGATCAATTGAAGAAAGTGGAATTCTGAAAAGGATCATGAAAACACCAGTGTTAAATTGAATTCAGTAAGTTTTACCATTGCACTAAATTTATTACACTTTATACACTGGTATACAGTGTGGTACTGTGGTGAGAAAAAATTGCATGTATTTCTTAAGAGGCTGTAATTTCACTCACAATACTGATGTATATAATGGTTGCATACATGTTAAACTTTTAGATTCTTTATAGAAATATAAATCACCAGTAGCAGGCAGTGAAATAAAGAAAATTTCAAGCTAAACGTGGAAGTTCCAGTTTTATGATCCCAAAGAATAAGGGGCATTCTATATAACAAAATAACCAAAGAGGATGATACGCCAAAATCTGAGAAACTTTCAGGAAAATGTGCCCATGATATGAAAGAATTAACATCAACTACACTAAAAAGAACAAATTAACTTTGCCTATGACCACAAATGTTCATACACCAGGTATTCCAGCAATCACCTTATTATATATTTCCTAATAAACTCCAGGTAACAGAGTATTTACTACCTAATAAAATATTTCTTGCTGGACTAAAGTTCTGCATTAATCATGGTTTGAAAGTTTATTAGCATTTTCATTCCAAAGCCTTTTACAGAAATACTGACTTATGGTAAAGTTTAGCAGAACCATATGGCAATACAGTCATTGATCGTATGTTCACTAAAAGTCACGAATGCACATAAATTAGGACTACAGTTTATAAATAAATATCCTCATATAAAGATGTTTCATATACAAACATCTTTAATAAATGCTAACAGTTTTCTAAACAGTGCCTTATTTCAATTGGGTTGGTATGTCAGTGTTGAAGAGGCATTTGGACAACACCCTTTAACAACATGCTTTAACTTTTGGACAGCTCTGAAGTGGTCAGGCAGTTGGACTAGATGATCAGCATAGGTCCCTTCCAACTATCCTATTCCATTCCATTCCATACCCACAAATTTAACCAACCAGGTGAAAGACATTAAAATATGCAGCAACATATTCTTCATAGCCCCTAGGTGTCAACTGTGAATGAAGTTTCTATTTCCATACACAAAGACTGAGAAATCAAGCTTTGTAAAACAGTCACGCTGTTGGCCACCCCTCCCTCTCTCTGCATTAGTATCTGAGTGTCCATTTCTTCACAAAGTCTGAACTGGTTGTAATAGTAACTTGTTACTCCCACACCATTCAAGTGTGCACACTGGCCAGTAATTCCTCATTCTTGATCCTATGCCTTACTCCACCTGCTTAATGGACATCTTTGAATAAAAGAGCACAGGTAGCGGCTGGAAACAGCACTTCATAATGGATTACTCTGGCCTTACACAACATATGAAGATTTTCTTAGAATCATCTTATTTCAGCAATTTTCTAAATATTAATGATACTTTTACTATTAATATTTGTTAAATATGATGACATAATCAGGAACTTGGAAATTCAGAAATGTCATGGGTTCAGCAGTAGCAGTCATTTTTTCACCACCTTGGTGGCTGGTTGCACAATGACAGATCTGACCGGAGTATATCTAATCGTATTTGTGGTAAGCATTCATTGTTTTGCATTAGTAGTCACTCGTCACAATGCTGATTTATTGGCTCTCAATTTTGTTGCTCTTGATCTCACAGTTTCAGCATGTTATGCCTTACTCGCAGACGGTATTTGCTGTGTTAGTGTTTATCGGCTGGGGGCCTTGGGCTAAGATTCTTGTCTCACTGTACTTTATGGTACAGGCTGCAATATGGGCAGGCTTCAGCAGCAGGGCAGGATGGACATGGCTGTGGACTGGTACCTGCCCATCCCTCTGCTCTTCACCGTCCTGGCCCTCATCCTCACCTCCATCTTCGTGAAGCTGCAGGGAGCTGAGGGGGAGTGGCCCCGGGAGCCGCCAGTGGCCAAAGCAGCCAGGAAGAGTGGCCCTGGGGACCAAGCAGTGGTGAGAGAGGGGTCCCAGGCCGGGAGGGAGCGGCTGCCAGTGGAGGAGTTTGGGGCGGTCGAGGAGGGGAAGGAGAAGACTGCCAAGCAGTGGGAGGAGGCAGCAGAGGAACCGAGCATCCCCCAGTAGGCAGCCAAGAGCATCCCCCAGTAGCCGCCCACCGAGCCTCATGAGCCTGAGCCCCAGGAGGATGCAGAGAGTAAGATACCACCTTTGGGAACCTCAGCTGGGTCCAGCCTTGGGCACCTGGGACAAGCGGAGGATACAGGAGACCACACAGCACCTTCCAGCAAGGCAGAGGAAGATCTGAACTCAGAAAAAGAGAAGCTGGTGGTAAGAGAGCCAGCAAGCACAGCAGCTACACCATGCCCAGTGACAAGTACAGCGGCATCATCTGAGAGTTCTGAAGGTTTTAAATGGCCTCTGGGTACCCTTGAGACCTGCCTGCTGATTGTGATGGGGATCAGCGTGTTGGCACACATAGAGAGTGTGTTTTAACCATGACCATTTTGTCTGATCTCAAAAGTTGAGGAGGGTTGGGTTTGGGTCTTGTCTAGGGTTAGACAACAATACAGGAGGACGAAGAGGTTTTCCCCAAGGCTAGACAGTCATGAGTGGCAAGGTGTGTGGGACAGTATGAGCAAGTATCTGGTCCACTGGGCCCCTCCAGTGCTTTGGAAGCATTGGAGATGGAAGGCAGCTGTATAGAGTCCCCAATGACAAGTTGCAGAAACTGCTGAAGGGGATGGTGAATTATTTTGGGCCTGGTGGGCCCATGACCCTTAAGGCCATCAGAGCAGAGATACAACATACAGATGGACTCATGATCGAGGGGTGCACTTAGCAATGGACACTATTGCCCCGTTTATTCATGAGTGTGAACACTGCGCACAGCCTCTCCTGCTCTGTAAGACTGTTACAAGAGATGAAGCCCAACATCATGGACCAAATGGACTCAGCAGCTTTATAGGGATCGGTCCATGCACTAAGATAAGAGTGCACTGAGATAAGAGTGGCATATTGAAAATCTGGGATCTGAGCATGATGTGAATGGTATGGAATAAGGGGTAGATAATGTCCTGGGTTCAGCAGTAGCAGTCATTTTTTCTCCTTCTTGGAGACTGGTGCAGTGCTGGCTTTTTTTTACTTTTGGCCTGGGAACAGCTGATGGCACCAATGTTTTCAGTTACTGCTCAAATGTTTAGTCTGACCAAGGACTTTCTGAGTCTCATGCTCTGCCAGGGAGAAGGGGAAGCTGGGAGGAAGCAGAGACAGGACACCTAAGCCAGACTAGCCAAAGAGGTATTTCATACCACAGCACATCATGCCACGATGTGACTGATTGTTACCCGGAAGGGCTAGTGCACTGCGGGGTCGGGCTAGATATCGGTCGGAGGGTGGTATTGCATTCTCTTCCCTTGTTATTTCCCTTAACGTTTTTATTATTGGTGGTATCAGTAGTGATTTGTGTTATACCTTAGTTACTGAGCTGTTCTAATCTCAACCTGTGGGAGTTACATTCTTTCGATTCCCCTTTCCATCCCTTCAGGAGCGGGGGGAAGAAGAGGGGGGGGGAGTAGACTGCATGGGTCTGATTTACGGCCTGGGCTTAAACCACAATAGGAAACTGCAGACCAGTCAGTCTCACCTCCGTGCCTGGCAAAATCCTGGAGCAGATTCTCCTGGAAGGCATGCTAAGGCACATAAAAAACAACAAGGTGCTTGGTGACAGCCAGCATGGCTTCACTAAGGGGAAATCCCGTCTGACCAATTTGATGACTTTCTATGATGGGGCTACAGAACTGACGGACAGAAGGAGACCCGCTGGCATCATTTACATGGACTTGTGCAAAGCATTCGACACTGTCCCGCAAGACATCCTTGTCTCTAAATTGGAGAGACATCAACTTGATAGGTGGACCACTCGGTGGATGAACAATTGGCTGGATGGCCGCACACAAAGAGTTGTGGCCAGCGGCTCAATGTCCAGCTGGAGACCAGTAACGAGTGGTGTCCCTCACGGATCAGTATTGGGATAGGTCTTTTTTAACATCTTCGTCGCTGACTTGGACAGTGGGATTGAGAGTGCCCTCAGCAAGTTTGCCGATGACACCAAGTTCTGTGGTTCAGTTGATATACTGGAGGGAAGGAATGCCATCCAGAGGGACCTTGACACGCTTGTGAGGTGGGCTGATGCCAACCTCATGAAGTTTAACCATGACAAGTGCAAGGTCCTGCACTTGGGTTGGAGCAATCCCAGGCACAGCTACAGACTGGGGAGACAAGAGATTCAAAGCAGCCCTGCGGAGGAGAACTTGGGGGTGTTGGTCGATGAGAACATGAGCTTCAGTGTGCACTTGCAGCTCAGAAAGCCAACCGTATCCTGGGCTGCATCAAAAGCAGCGTGACCAGCAGGTCGAAGGAGGTGATCCTGCCCCTCTACTCTGCTCTCATGAGACCTCTCTTGAAGTTTTGTGCACAGTTCTGGTGTCCCCAACATAAAAAGGACGTGGAGCTGTTGGAACAAGTCCAGAGGAGGGCCACAAGGATGATCAGGGGTCTGGAGCACCTCCCATATGAAGATAGGCTGAGAAAGTTGGGCTGTTCAGTCTGGAGAAGAGAAGGCTGCGTGGAGACCTCATAGCAGCCTTCCAGTATCTGAAGGGGGCCTATAAGGATGCTGGGAAGGGACTCTTCGTTAGGAACTGTAGTGGTAGGACAAGGGGTAACAGGTTAACACTTAAACAGAGAGAGTTTAGATTGGCTATAAGGAAGGAGTTCTTTACTGTAAAAGTGGTGAGGCACTGGGATGTGTTTCCCAAGGAAGTTGTGAATGCTCCATCCCTGGTGGTGTTCAAGGCCACGTTGGACAGAGCCTTGGGTGACATGGTTTATTGTGAGGCATCCCTGCCCATGGCAAGGAGGCTAGAACTAGATGATCTTAAGGTCCTTTCCAAACCTAACAATTCTACTATTTTATGATTCTATAATAGCTTAGTTTGATAGTGAACAAAAAATGCTATTTGCAAACTCGGAACAGAATGAGGAGAGAAGTACAACTTCAGATGTCTCTGCAGTCACTAGACCTTTCACGGATAACACAACAATTATCTATTCTGTGCAACAGTGACATAACTGTATTTTCAGTAATGTCTGCAAATGGGTTTTCTATATGTAAGTAAATTTGTATCTCTTTATAGAAGATTGAAAACAGTAAAATAAGACTATAAAAAATGATTACTGAAAAATCCTGCAGTTTTACCTTCTCCCGTATCATATCTACTTTCATAAATTAGTCCAGCTACAAAAGCAAACATATGATAACAGAAGCATTTGTTTCACAATGTTTTATATTAAGAAAAAAATTGATAATGCAAATAATTTTCTCATTTAGCTCACAGTAAGACATATGTTCTTATTTAAATTAAGTAACCACATAACCCATCCAGCATTCTGAAATGAAAATCAAAGTTCTAAATCCATATATGGATATCTAGACATTTACAAAATACTGCTAATGTATATGTAGCTTATTTTTCCTTTTATTCTTTGTATTAACACAATTAAACTATTTCTTAGTAGGAAACCATTATGATGAATGTTGGCATTATATTTTGGGGGATTAAATATGCAGTGAAGCTGCATCTTTGTCAGACTGTCTTTTCAGTTTATACGCCATGGTACTGCCTGCAGTTAAAACCAATCATAGCAGGAAGAGCTGAAAAGTTAAAAAACAAATACCAAATACAATCAGTAAATATTCAGACCATTTTATGAAGCACATGCAGAGCACTATCTAAATGCTTACCTTAACTATCCCACGGATATGCATTTTTGCTATCATCTCTGCAGTGTAAAGGAACATCAATAGAGTATCAAGAGCAAATGTCACATACTGGAGAGGAGGATAATGCTCGAAGGTCTTTGGAGTGTTCATACAAACAGAAATAACACTGATGATGGCACAGATTCGTAGTAAAGAGTGTACCCACTGAAGAAAAACACAAGACATTGTGAGATTGCTTTGATGTTCAAAAAAACCGCTTACATATTAAGCCTCCATAACCTGTTCTGCCACTTCTGTAAACATATATTTGTGTTTTTCTTTTATATCATGATCCACATCTTAAAGATCTCCATCCAAAAATAAGCACTCCTGACTTTAATTTATGCATATACACACACATATATATGCACATATATACATATATAAATTTAGTAGTCCATTTGGGAGGTTGTATAACTCAGAAACCAGTAATTAAGAGCCAGGAAACTAAGAATTAGGGTTCTATCATTTCTAGTTTGCAGCTTTTGTTATCCAATTTCTTTTCAAATGACAACTTGTCACATTTATGTGTAACACAGTAAGTGGAATTAGATAATGTTACAAATTGGGTGAATACATTAAATGAAAGTATCTGTGGAAAATTTTAGTTCCACATTTAGATTAACTGATTTTTAAATCAGTTTACAACTCCAAAATTTGAGTGACAGGCATGGGGATTAAAAGCATCTTTCCATTTATGGAAAGAATAAATATATGAAGAGACTATGTCACAGAAAGCTACTTCTTAACATCAGGATTCACTTTTGTTCCAAGCAAGTACTGTTGCTGTAAGGGAATAGTTAATTTCTATGACTACTTATGTCACAGTCCCACTACAGTCTTTATTAATAAGGCTGTTACTCGGTGCAGAATGTATCAATACAGGGGTTTAAGGTGGATTTTTTTTTCTTTTAATCAAAACACCTTTGAAACATCTTGAAGCCAGGCAAGTGTAATGAATCAGTTGGCAAGGTCATAGATATCAAGACAAGAACTATAAAACCAGACACTTCAGCAAGAAAAAAAATCTCCAAACAAAAATCACTGAAGTGTATTTATAGCAATTTTTCATCTGAGGAAAAATTCCACACTCCTTTACACCACCTCAAACCTTCGTAACAGAAAGATTTGAGGACACTCACCTGTTTTAATACTCACTGTACACTCACCTAAGTGTAATATTTGGCCTGAATTGAACAGCTCATTTCCATACTCTGAGCCCAAATTAATGATTTGGAAGTGAAGGCACCTGATGAATGATCTCTTATGTCCCTTTAACACCCACATTGTTTCAAACCTTGTCTCAGCTAAACAAATTAACATAAATATTGAAGTGTAGCAAATATAAAATCTGTTCTCTGTCACAGTAAAACACTGGTATTAGACATGCTAAGCAATATACAGCTAGTCTATCAGTGAGACAAGAAAAAAAATTACTCCATCAAAAAAACATGTACTGTGTTCTGAGAAACACAGGCAAATAACATAGGATATATCTCTGCATTTGAACTTGTAGTTACAGCAGTCAATATAAACATTCTACTTAAGATTATGTAGCACAAATATATGGGAGCTGCCTTGTAAAATATCTATGTGTTTAAACTCAGCAGCAAAGCTGAGGGGATCTGGCATCCAAACCGCAAATGAGATGATAGTTCCATCAAATGAATGTAATGCCAACAACATGTATTACTACAGAATATCTGATTTTCTGCATTTACAAAGTAAAAAAGTATACATTACTTAAGAGAAATGTGAAAATGTCTTCTCTGAAAAAACATGAATCATTCAACATATTGAAATTCCAGATGCACACTGACTGCTGAATAAATACTTTAATCACCATAACCATATTCACAAGGTAAAGGCATCTTCTTAATATTGCACATTCTACCAATAACTACACTCTCAATGAAGCTGTCCCCAGTTTCAAGCTGCCAGACACTTTTACATCTATCTGTTTCTTAGGGCAGGTTGTAGGTTAAATGATACCAGAAAATGTAACAAGTCAAAATACACTTTTATATTCAGAAGTGATGTAAAGGTGAGATTTGAAAGTCAAAAGTGCCAACTGCTGACTACCACTTTAGCAATGAAATGGTCCTTTTAACATCTTTTCAAATGCTCCTTTTATGAAATTGACTTCTAATTTCAATAAACATGTTAGGAGCAAGAGGCATTGAAACGATAGCTGACAATCAGTAGACGAACTCATTAACAAACACTGCTTGATCATCCCCATCAGACTGCAACAACCAAAAGAACCCTTTTTATTTAGTTTTGGACTTATTGCAAACAATAAACTGGTAGACTAGCAACTATAGCTTAATACTACTTTCTGACAAATATCTATTTTGGCATCTTCTGTCAAGTCCTATTTCAAGCAAAAAAAGTCACATTTAACTTAAAATTAGGAACTACAGAAAGAGATACCTACTGGTTTGTTTATCCACAGAATATCTGCGTTGTCTGACAAAGATTCATCGGGACCAAAATCTGTAACTGGTTGGGCTTCCACCCTTGAACTTTGCTTCCGTTTTAGCATCCTGAAGTTAACTTTTGTTATCTATAATAACGAAACCTCTTTGGGGAAAAAGAAAAAAAGAAAAGGCATTAATTAACTAAAACAATTTTATAATGCATTTTGACCAGTTTTATATGTAACCTAAAGCATTCTAGTTTTATGCAAACTGCTTTTGTACTAATCGATTATCAGGATCTTCATTTTATTAAAAAGCTTTGCCTATAGAGATCACTGACATGACTGTCACTAGTATACAAAAAATTACACAAAGGTATGCAATGCAAGCAATTACCAGAACCTTACCAAAGCTGGCAGAAAAACTGTACCGATATGCAAAGAATGCTACTGCTGTAAACTTAAACCCAGAATAATCATTGGACATATTTGACCTAAAGCCATTTAATTTATTGGAGACATTTCCATTTATTCCCCTAGCTAAGATAAATTCCAACATGCTGTAGGAAAACAGGCAATGTTAAGCAGATGACACATTGTAATGTTCTTTACCGAAATCAGAAGAGCCTTTTTGCTCTAGACTGCTATTAACATGTATTTTTCTTTTTCTAATGTTAGCCATTATCTATCCAACAGCCTGACAGTTTGCTGTCTCTGGGGCTTGTGCCGGCACATGGATCCACTGAGGAAAATGTGTTGTTTCCACAATACTAGGCCAAATCTGGGCATTTCTGTGTAGGTGGCACAGACCGAACCTTTTGTATGCTCAGCCACTTAAGCCACAACGGCAGAAAGGTGGGTTATCCAAAGACATAAAAAGGATAAAACTTTTCCAAGAGGAATCTGCTGATGAAATACGGCTCTGTCATTCATGAAATATAACCCCCTAGGGATTTTTTTTATTTATTTTTTTTTCCAAGAAACTGAGGGGGAGGAGAAAGCAAAATCTTGGGACCTTGTTCTGGACCTCTACTCTGGACCAAGCGTGGTTGGTATGTGCAAAAATGTAGACTACTTTCTTGAAACCTTTGTCAAACTAGTACAGAGTAGAATCACAGAATGGTTTGTATTGGAAGGGCCCTTAAAGTTCATCTAGTTCTACCCCCTCTGCCATGGGCAGGAATATCTTCCACTAGACCAGGTTGCTCAAAGCCCCATCCAACCTGGCCTTAAACACTGCCAGGGATAGGGCAGCCACAGCTTCTCTGGGCAACCTGTGCCAGTGTCTCACCAACCCCACAGTAAATAACTTCTTCCTTATGTCCAACCTAAATCTTTCAGTTTAAAGTTGTTGGTGCCTTGCCCCATCACTACAGGCCCAAGCATCAGAATGATGACTGCAACATGAATGCTAGAGACATCATGTAAGAGGTGATTAGCTGGAGGAAACAGTGGGCTCAGGACTGAACAAGTACCCACATGCTTGGTCTCAGATGACTTCTAGCTACAAAGGCTGTTGCTTTGTTACAGCACCTATGCATCCCTGGTTATCTCTTCTAGCTGTTATGGCAAATGTCTTCTTCCAAGCCCCCCAGAATCTACTCCTACTCTGTCTCTCTTTCAGATTCAACAGATCAGCTCCTGTCTGTGTAACTCCCTTGCTACATTTTCAGAAGAGTGCTTTTGTGGTTTCTCGTACAGTGTCCCTCCAGACATGACAAGCTCCATATGTGAGCTCCTTGCCAAGTTTCTACAAAGTTTTTTCAGTATGTTCTTTTGTATCTGTCAATAAACAAAAATTCCCGATCATGACGACTGTGCTGTCAGTACAACCTTGTGCTTTCTTGTGTATACACACCTATCTGGTATCTCCTGTGCAGTATTTAAAACCAAGTGCATCAATTTTGACACCTTTATTTGTATGGTCAGTCACAGCAACTTCAGTATAACCAAAACTGGTAAGCTGTCACTAAAAATATGCAAATATTGTAAAATTAACTTTTTTGTCTTTCTCTAACAAATGAAAACTGAAATAATATCCACACAAGCTGTATGTTCTCCTAATCCCCTTGCTAAAGCTTTATGCTCTGACTTCTTTCTCATAACTGAATGCGTTACTGCCTTCTCTTTAGCAGTTTTCCTGCTTTCTCCTATTTATTTCTAAGCTTAATGTATTGACTTATTTTTCCTACTTGGACCAAAGCATAACTAGAAACGCTTGAAGCCTCATAGACGCTAGTGTACTTTTTGAGGTCATGAAGCCTTAAAAAGGCTACATTTAGCATAGTGATATGAAGTGTACTGTAATGTCTTGGGTACTGCATTTCTTAAGACCTTAGGAAATAAAAATAAAAAGACATTTTAGAAAATGTTTCTTGCAACTATGTTCCTTTGGAAACTTACTAAAAAGCTAATCAGTGAATTAACAAAATAATAATTTTATGTTTACCATTTCTGGTAATGGCTATGACAGTGCTCCTAGTAAACTCTTAAGAAAATACGCACCAATAAATGATCAGTAAGTACAACGAATAATTATGAGAAAAGGCTCAGGAAATGAAACACTAACAAGCCACAGCTGATTTATTTTTCTTTTTAAATAAATGACACTAAATAACAAGCTATGTCCATTTGGGAAAGAAAACAGATAATTATCAACTGGCTATTAGAGAGGCTCTGCTGGTTTTGCGCTTTTCTCAGTATTGCTTATTTATACTTCTGATGTGTGGGAAGATTAGCTATATCCTTCTAATGAAATTCCCATTTACCCTTTCACCCAGTGCCTCTTTATCTTTTTAACTGATCTGGGCACAAAAAATATAATGAACTTTAGATGCCCATAATAGATTTAGTTCAGAAACTTAAATGCTGTGACTAAAGAGATCAGAGCTCTTATTTTTAAGAGGTGGCCTTGAATAAACAAATCACCATGTATATAAACCCAATGGAAGGGAATAAATGTTTATGGAATATAAGAATCAGCTTGTTTACTGCTGATTTGCTGACAAAAACACGTAAGACAACAAACCTAGAATCTTCTGGAAATGGTCTTCAGCAAGATCATTCAAAATACAGCATGGTTGCTCTCAAGCTTTTATGCAATTTTTTATTGTTCTCACTACTTTTTATTTTGGAAGGAAACACACAAGCTTTTACACATCTCTTCCTGTAGAGTGACACAAAGCCTGTGACAGCCTCAGGACTGTACCATGTGTGTAAAGAATTTTAATTCTTAGACTACAATCCCTTTTGCACCTGTTTCTACATGGGAGAACCAGCTGAAAGATTAACAGGAAGAAGGGAGCCGTGCATGAACAGCTTCCAGCATGTGACACACAGTGAACACCACACCAAGCTGTGCTAACAGGGAGGCAGTCCTCCCTAACCCTGGCTACAAATGCACCCCTGCAGTTCCCACACTGATTCCAACACACATCATTATGTCTTTCTTTGATCACAACCCATTATTAACATGAAAGGCTTAATACATTATCTAGGATATATTTCTAGCTCGAGAGTTTTTAAAAAATATCAGGTGCAGGGCAGACAGGTTTTCAGACAGGAAAACATCATGGAGTTCTGGAGCTACCTCCACATTTCTTTGGAGAATTTCCTTTACAGTAGCAATGAAAATCCTCAGTGCAGGTGTCAACCTCCTCGGGGAAGACTGTAATCTTTGCTTTTAAATTTCTCCTCTATTTTTAGAAGCAAGGACAAATTAAAGGAAAAAAACTAAACAGAAAACTACTCACACACTGAGCCCCTTCAGATCCATTTGGTCAGCCTTTTATCTCCCTCACTCTCTCTGAACTCACAGCAACCACTGCGCCATCTCAAGCAGCCACTAAATTTACAGCTTCTGCTGAAAGGAAAGTATGCCAGCACAGTAGCTGAACTTCAGACCAAGTGTGCGCTTGTGAGACAGAAAGTCTGAAGAAGATCTAATCCCAGTTTGTGATAGCCACACTAACCACAATACACTCCCGTTGATCACTTCCCACAAAAATCAGAAGACAAATTTTAAAATTTATCTGATCCTACAGAGCATCAAAAGCTGAGAAATCTGTGTCTTGTTTATAAAGCAAACTCACTGTAAACAGCATCATCTACTCATGAAATTTCTATCACAAAGACAGGAAAACATCCCTGTAAGTGCTCTGACAGACAAAGAAGGCAGTTCAGAAATGACTTCACAGAAAAATAAATGGAAAAATAAAGCCTGTATTCCTACCTACAACTTACGGAAAGAGTTAAATCATACAAATCCTTGGAAACTGCGCTGTCTGGCTTCCAACATACTTTTTCTCCCTGTGTATTGATTTTTTTCACCTGAGATCATGAGAGCACTGCCTGAAGGTCCTCCCAGGGCTGGCCACCTACAAGCACTCTCTTCTTTGAAAATGTCTGCTCCCCTTCTAACTTCTCCCAGAGCTGGGACACACAAAGTGGTGAGCAGCATTTCAGTATTTGTTTCCATGTAGCAAAACATTTTAAATGAGCAAGTTTTATACCTGACAATCCATATACATATAATTTTAGAAGGGTAAAGGCAGAATTAGAATGGATGCAATCACGTGACACATGCCACTACAGATGTTATTAACTCATAACTAGTTTCAATGAAAAAATATTTCCATACTTTTTCTCTCTGTGTGGCATTCTTATTGCATCTGGTTAAATGTCCTAAAAGATCTCTTCATTATTTTGAACACATACTGCTAACAGCTGACCAAAATTCAGTATTTACTAAGACCAATCAGGAGTCTTCACAAAGAAGGTATACTGAAGGAAATATCCTAAAAATCATAGAATCCTAGAATAGTTAGGGTTGGAAAGGACCTTAAGATCATCAAGTTCCAACCCCCCCGCCTTGGGCAGGGACACCTCGCTCTAAACCGTATCACCCAAGGCCTCGTCCAGCCTAGCCTTGAACACTGCCAGCGATGGAGCATTCACAACCTCCTTGGGCAACCTATTCCAGTGCCTCACCAAATCACTTACATTCACATTTTCAAAACATTTGAATACAGGTAGGAAAGAACAGCAGGTGACATCATGTACTTACTAACAGGACACCAGACCAAATACACCAGACTGGGTTTCACGTATCGAGGGAAGGTTTAGCAATTGCTAAAGGCTGCCAACATAAGGCTGCCAAC